CAGACTGCAATCACACGCAGCACCTGTCCTTTCCCGGGAGCGGCGCGATGCGGCTGTTAGTAGTGTGAATGCGGCCTACATTGAGAAGTGAAGCAGATGAGTGTGAGCGGAATCCTGCACTGATTGACCAGCTGTAGTCAGAAACAGGCCGGGAGAATGTCGGTGAACGCTGCCATCTGGAGGCCAGAATTGGTATTTACTCCGCACTCTGCTGGAAGGAAGGTGAAGTCAGAGGAGTGCACAGAGCATACAAACACAATGCAATCATCTTATAATACCAAATATTAGTATTCACACACTACTGGATTGTGTTATCTTCAAACATATAGATTTTCTATGTTTAAATTTACACCGGGGGCCATGGAGGGGATTGGAACACCTGAATCCAATGATGTGGAGGGGGAGGGGCCCAATACTTTTGGCAATATAATATATTTTTGAGAGTTCCCTGTGAGACATTGGACATAATACTGATGACGCCCATACTATTTTCAGCAGCTTCATTGTTTGTTGGAATCTAATGCCTGACAAGGGGGCGTCGTCCTCGTTTGCATTGTATAGGTGACCATACACTGCACGATTCTCGTACGAGAATCGCAGGAAATCCCGCGATCGTACGAGAATCGTGCAGTGTATGGAAGGCGTGCGACCGTTTCTACTGTACAGTCGCGCGTCTTCCGTCGAACCAGCATGCTAGAAAACCCGCCGGGAATCGTACGATTCTCGGCGAGTTAGTGGCCTGCTGGTTCGACAACTGCCGAACGGGCCGCACACGCACACTGCCCGTTTGCAGTCATCGTAAGCCCGCCCCTCATTACAGTTATCGTAAGCCCGCCCCTCAGGGGGGCGCGGCTTGCGATGATCGCAAGTACGATCTGCCTGTCCAAGATGGGCAGATCGTACGTTTTTTTTTTTTCCTCTCTCTCTCCTGGCTGTCTCTTCTTGCTCTCCCTCCTGGCTGTCTTCCCTCACTCTCTCCTGGCTCTCCTCACACTCTCTCCTATATATTCTCCCCCCAAAAAAATTGTAGCACAGCATGTGTTTGGGTTTGGCTTGAAGAAAAGGTTGTAACCCTGACCCCAGAGTAATATGATAGGGTGTTGCCTTGTGTCCCTCTCTGGGTTATACAGTAGAAAGGCATCATGGGACACTCACAAGCCAGCATGTAAAAAAACTCGTCTCACCGCTAAGGTTAATAACAGAGGTTTGGATACACGTCTTCTGCAGAAAATGTGAAAGCCGCACAGCCGCGCCAAGGCACCTCTTATAGTGCGGTCCTAACTCTAAACTATGAGAGTCTCCATCTTGTAGCACATGGGGGCAGAAGATTTCAAATTGGGTGCAGGTGTGTCAGGAGGAAGCCCGACCTCCTTAAAGGCACAGGAACATACAAGGGATCCCGCACATCCCAATGGCAGCTGAGAAACCCCATGAGTCACTACAAGTTTTTTTACATGCTGACTTGTGAGTGTGCCATGATGCCTTTCTACTGTCTACTGTTTTAAGCCCATTTCGTGTGCACCTCACTGTATAGTTGGTGACGAATTGTTGAGTACGTTTGTCATTTGTTTTGCTTGACCTCTCTGAGTTATAACACAGAGATATACGGGTGTGGGGAGAGCTTTCTGTAACGCCCCCAGGAGCTGCCGGTCACATTGAAATAACTGTATAATAAGATGAGATTTCTATTTCTGCTGATGACACGAAGGGGTGCCGTGAGATTGATATTCCTGGAGGTTGTATATAACGTGGAACGTGATTTGCCATTGCTGGAAAATTGGTCAAAGCAAAAACTGCAGTTCAATGTTTCTAAATGCAAAATAATACATGTAGGATGAAGAATTGTCTGATAGAGTAAAATATTGGATGGACACTGTTGGCCAGAACTACAGAGGAAAATAATTTATTTCAGATTATTGCAACATGAACAAACGATGTGACCTCGCAATGGGGAAAGAGAAAATAATTCAGGGAAGCATCACTAGAGGGGTCCCCAGCAGGAGGAAGGAGGTCCTGATTCCTCTATATAGATCTTTATGATCACTAGAGGGATCCCCAGCAGGAGGAAGGAGGTCCTGATTCCTCTATATAGATCTTTATGATCACTAGAGGGATCCCCAGCAGGAGGAAGGAGGTCCTGATTCCTCTATATAGATCTTTATGATCACTAGAGGGATCCCCAGCAGGAGGAAGGAGGTCCTGATTCCTCTATATAGATCTTTATGATCACTAGAGGGATCCCCAGCAGGAGGAAGGAGGTCCTGATTCCTCTATATAGATCTTTATGATCACTAGAGGGATCCCCAGCAGGAGGAAGGAGGTCCTGATTCCTCTATATAGATCTTTATGATCACTAGAGGGATCCCCAGCAGGAGGAAGGAGGTCCTGATTCCTCTATATAGATCTTTATGATCACTAGAGGGATCCCCAGCAGGAGGAAGGAGGTCCTGATTCCTCTATATAGATCTTTATGATCACTAGAGGGATCCCCAGCAGGAGGAAGGAGGTCCTGATTCCTCTATATAGATCTTTATGATCACTAGAGGGATCCCCAGCAGGAGGAAGGAGGTCCTGATTCCTCTATATAGATCTTTATGATCACTAGAGGGATCCCCAGCAGGAGGAAGGAGGTCCTGATTCCTCTATATAGATCTTTATGATCACTAGAGGGATCCCCAGCAGGAGGAAGGAGGTCCTGATTCCTCTATATAGATCTTTATGATCACTAGAGGGATCCCCAGCAGGAGGAAGGAGGTCCTGATTCCTCTATATAGATCTTTATGATCACTAGAGGGATCCCCAGCAGGAGGAAGGAGGTCCTGATTCCTCTATATAGATCTTTATGATCACTAGAGGGATCCCCAGCAGGAGGAAGGAGGTCCTGATTCCTCTATATAGATCTTTATGATCACTAGAGGGATCCCCAGCAGGAGGAAGGAGGTCCTGATTCCTCTATATAGATCTTTATGATCACTAGAGGGATCCCCAGCAGGAGGAAGGAGGTCCTGATTCCTCTATATAGATCTTTATGATCACTAGAGGGATCCCCAGCAGGAGGAAGGAGGTCCTGATTCCTCTATATAGATCTTTATGATCACTAGAGGGATCCCCAGCAGGAGGAAGGAGGTCCTGATTCCTCTATATAGATCTTTATGATCACTAGAGGGATCCCCAGCAGGAGGAAGGAGGTCCTGATTCCTCTATATAGATCTTTATGATCACTAGAGGGATCCCCAGCAGGAGGAAGGAGGTCCTGATTCCTCTATATAGATCTTTATGATCACTAGAGGGATCCCCAGCAGGAGGAAGGAGGTCCTGATTCCTCTATATAGATCTTTATGATCACTAGAGGGATCCCCAGCAGGAGGAAGGAGGTCCTGATTCCTCTATATAGATCTTTATGATCACTAGAGGGATCCCCAGCAGGAGGAAGGAGGTCCTGATTCCTCTATATAGATCTTTATGATCACTAGAGGGATCCCCAGCAGGAGGAAGGAGGTCCTGATTCCTCTATATAGATCTTTATGATCACTAGAGGGATCCCCAGCAGGAGGAAGGAGGTCCTGATTCCTCTATATAGATCTTTATGATCACTAGAGGGATCCCCAGCAGGAGGAAGGAGGTCCTGATTCCTCTATATAGATCTTTATGATCACTAGAGGGATCCCCAGCAGGAGGAAGGAGGTCCTGATTCCTCTATATAGATCTTTATGATCACTAGAGGGATCCCCAGCAGGAGGAAGGAGGTCCTGATTCCTCTATATAGATCTTTATGATCACTAGAGGGATCCCCAGCAGGAGGAAGGAGGTCCTGATTCCTCTATATAGATCTTTATGATCACTAGAGGGATCCCCAGCAGGAGGAAGGAGGTCCTGATTCCTCTATATAGATCTTTATGATCACTAGAGGGATCCCCAGCAGGAGGAAGGAGGTCCTGATTCCTCTATATAGATCTTTATGATCACTAGAGGGATCCCCAGCAGGAGGAAGGAGGTCCTGATTCCTCTATATAGATCTTTATGATCACTAGAGGGATCCCCAGCAGGAGGAAGGAGGTCCTGATTCCTCTATATAGATCTTTATGATCACTAGAGGGATCCCCAGCAGGAGGAAGGAGGTCCTGATTCCTCTATATAGATCTTTATGATCACTAGAGGGATCCCCAGCAGGAGGAAGGAGGTCCTGATTCCTCTATATAGATCTTTATGATCACTAGAGGGATCCCCAGCAGGAGGAAGGAGGTCCTGATTCCTCTATATAGATCTTTATGATCACTAGAGGGATCCCCAGCAGGAGGAAGGAGGTCCTGATTCCTCTATATAGATCTTTATGATCACTAGAGGGATCCCCAGCAGGAGGAAGGAGGTCCTGATTCCTCTATATAGATCTTTATGATCACTAGAGGGATCCCCAGCAGGAGGAAGGAGGTCCTGATTCCTCTATATAGATCTTTTTTTATCACTAGAGGGATCTCCAGCAGGAGGTCCTTTAGGTCCTCATTTAGAATATTGTGTGCAGTTCTGGAGATCTCACTTACAACAAGACATTGATAAGATAGAACGAGTCCAGAGATGAGCAACAAAATTGGTGAAAGGTTCTGAGAGATAAAACATATCAGGAGAGACTACAGGAACTTAGTATCTACAGTCTGGAGGAAAGAAGGGAAAGGATGGACATGACTGAGACCTCTAAATACATGAAGGGTATGAATAAGGTTCAGGAGGGCATTTGCTTTTAATATGAAGAACACGGGAACATGACCTCAAACTAGCAGGAGGAAAGTTCTAAACTCACCTTAGAAAGTATTATTTCATTAAAAGGATAGTTGATGTTGGGAGCAGACGTCCAGCAGAGGTAGGGAGTCAGGCAACAGTAAGTGAATGTTAACGTTCTTGGGACAAACATGGACACAGACTCGATAATCACCTTGCTCTTCTTTTGCCATCACTCTCATGTTTCTATATGCAGAGTGACCTCTGTCCTGTTCTCACCCTTACAGCCTCCTTATTGAAGCTCTGGTACCGGGAACTGGAGGAGCCGCTCATCCCACATGAGTTCTACAAACAATGCATCACTCACTACGAGAACCCCGAAGCGGCCATCGATGTCATCCATTCACTTCCTAAACTGAACAAGATGGTGCTGTGCTACCTCATCCGCTTTCTACAGGTACGTGTTATCGTTACTCGGTAATTGGTATCGACGAGTACCGGAAAAAAATTATCGGTACTTGTACTCGGTACCAAAATACCGGTATCGGTGCATCCCTAATATGTACCATCCCTTCCACGCAGTCGTGTGGTAACCTTCAGCACTCCAGGCCTTGCCAGACCCTGCGTTCCCCACCTCTTTGTTCTGCCTACCTTTTCATGATGTCTTCAGGCCGGTTATATGATGCACTGGGTCCCATCTGAATCCTCTGCCGCTGGTGGGTGGTACATAATGACGCAGAGAGCGATGCTAACGTAACATCAGAGCAGCTCGCTGCATTATTGTGAATGTGGGATGCCATGGTGATCCCCTCTTCAAGGGGGTGGCTCAGTGATTCCCTGCGCTCACAGCATGTCCTCAGTCCTCTGTGCAGAATGATTCTGTTTAATCCAGAAGACTGAGGACATCTTGTGGCAGAAAGAGGCTATTGCAGGAGTGGAGGGGAGCATTTCAGCCACAGCTGGGGGAGTATTTAAAAAAACAAAGGTCAGAAATGGGCTTTAATGACCAGCGCTGATGTGAATATGTTGCTAGCTGCTCGACCACCACTGACTTTATTATTTTTCGAGGCGCCTGACAAACTTGCATCAGGTGAAGCCAGATATCCAGATCTCCATACCTGTGCCAGGTCAGTGACTCACAAATTGTTGGAGCCAGGGGATTAGCATGACAACCGGTCAGCCATCACTCTCTGTACAGGTTTCCGGTACACCCCCCTTCCCCACTGGGTGCAGCTTACCTTACTCCTCGTTGCAGTGAACTTCACTGTGTGGCACTCATCGGCCCCAAACAGCCTTAAACATCCCCATCAGGTCCTCTTCTCACTGCGAGCTGCGACTCTATATTATCTTATGGGTGAGCCATACTCATAGCAGCCTCCAGCCATCCAGCGGAGTGTTATTATTATTATTATACAGGATTTATATAACGCCAACAGTTTGCGCAGCGCATTACAATATAATGGCTCACCCATAGAAAGGAGGACGGTAAGTATTTTACCAGGTGAGCTGTACTCAGGGGGATGGGCGGCCTGTTCTGCGAGGAGCAGGTACAGTACGTCCTAACAAACTCATGTTCATCTTCTGTATTACAAGCAGCCCGACTGAGACCCCAGGGGACTCTGGGAAGCCACAGGAGATGACATGGGAAGAGACCAGGCGAGGGTTGTCAAATGTGTATGACTCCTGAAAGAAATATGGCAGCCAATCAGAAATCAGCCCTTACTGGTCTGAGTAAACTGGTACTTAAGGCTCGTTGCAGGCTGTAGACATATTGAGGCTTTGCCAATGCGAGTGACAGTCTTTTATTGTGTCCATCACCCCTCCAGGTATTTGTACAGCCGGCCAACGTGGCCATCACGAAGATGGACGTCAGTAACCTGGCCATGGTCATGGCGCCCAACTGTCTACGCTGCCAGTCGGATGACCCCCGTATCATCTTTGAGAACACCAGGAAGGAGATGTCCTTTATCCGGGCCTTAATCCAGCACCTGGACACCAGCTTCATGGAGGCGGTCCTATAGCAGATGACTTGAAAAACAGGAACATAGCGTTGACTGTCGCATCTCATTGTAAGAGGAGAGATCTCCGCCCACCGCCCTGCCTTCTCATCCTTACACGCCCCTGCGGAGCCAATCCCACTCATCCCCTGTGGCAATAAGGACCTGACACACCTCCACCTCGGACCAAAGTGCAGCATAGGCACTGCAAGGCATGATGGGAGTGCTGGACACTGTGGCCCTAGGGTTTAACGTATATAAATATATATGTACATTCTTACAATGGTGACTATTTAACACTGTGGCGCATACTATGTGTCTGCTCTCCATGGAGGCAGTTTTCTTAGCTCTGATCTTGTCTCTGCTGGTGAAATAAGTGGGCACATCCCCTGGGGTTGGTATGTTATGTCATGGCATGGATTGGCCACTCGTGTCTTCGGCGGTGATCGATGGCCAGATCAGTTTGGATTTAGACAAGCTGCAAAGTCTAATTCGCAACTTCAGGCTGTCCCTATTCGTGCCAACAAAACAAAAAAAGAGGGGGGGGGGGGGGGGCTTGATAGGGGTTCTCAAACGCAAAGAATGTTGCTTGGATGTTGGATGATATGTTCATATCAATCTTTGCAAATAATTGCTGCATTGATCTGTGTGGATTTTGGCGCATGCCATGGCTGAATAACAACGGAACGCATGGCAATGACTGATTGATGGGGTAAAATGATTGACAGCGAGGACCTGTCATGTGCAACTCCTGACCTGCAACATTCTTTGCAGCCAGATGTGATCATAGTGCATTTTAGTGTTTTTATTTCTTTCCTTCGGATTCTCTGAATTTGTATTTATTTATTTATAAACAGCTCTGCAGGTAGGACATGATGGGAGGACGGGGAGAGGAACTGCGCCCCTCTTATCCCGGCATGCGTAGGGTGCTCCTGATTATCTATAGATAGGACATGATGGGAGGATGGGGAGAGGATCTGGCCTGCAGGCAGGAACTGCCCCCCTCTTTATCCCGGCATGCGTAGGGTGCTAGTGATTATCTGTAGGTAGGACATGATCAGAGGACGTGGAGAGGATCCGGTCTGCAGCCGAGGCAGGCAGGAACTGCGCCCCTATTATCCTGACATGCGTAGGGCGCTCCTTATTATCTATAGATAGGACATGATGGGAGGACGGGGAGAGGATCCGGTCTGCAGCCGAGGCAGGCAGGAACTGCGCCCCTCTTATCCCGGCATGCGTAGGGTGCTCCTGATTATCTGTAGGTAGGACATGATGGGAGGATCCGGTCTGCAGCCGGGACAGGCAGGAACTGCGCTCCTCCTTATCTCGGCATGCGTAGGGTGCTCCTGTTCCGAGAACTGAGACGGATGACACAGAGATAAATCGATATTATTTCTGATTATCTGGCGTTCCATATGACGGAGGGGTCAGGTCTGACCATCACCAATATCTTGGTTGTTGTTATTGCTTTACATAAAGTGTTTGGGAAGCATACAGATCTGGAGAAAAACGCTAAATGGAATAATTTGGGGCCAATTTCTAAAGATCGGAAAAAACAAACTGCATTGCGGTTATAATTATGCTGCTAAAATTTCGGATTTACTCTGATTTATATATGATGGTTTTTATGCCTCGATCATCTGATAGCCAAACCCTCATTGTTTATGTTCTGTGCCCCCTATAATTTGGTTTAACCCTATCCCTTGCTTCCCATTCCCTCATAAATTGGTTAGGATATCCCCATCATTTGTCTGTTAAACCCCCATCATTTCATTCCGGCACCCCTATCATTCAGTTCACATACCCCTATCCTTTGGTTCCCATCCCCCTATCATTTGATCCCATACCACCATCCTTTGTTTCCCATGCCCCCATTATTTGGTTCTTAAAATCTCATCATTTAGTTCCAACACCCAACCCTATAACTTGATTTCCATATGCCCATCATTTGGTTCCCATACCCCTTTCATTTGGGTTGCATGCCCCAATCATTTGGTTCCTATACCCCCATGCTTTGTTCCCATCCAACCATTCATTGGTTCCTATACCACCATCATTTGGATTCCATACCTCCATCATTTGATAACCCTTCCTCCATGATTTGGTTACCATACCCCATCATTTGGTTACCCTACCCCCATCATTTGACTACCTCACTCCCATGATTTAGTTACAATAATCCATCACTTGGTGCCTATGCCCCCGTCATTTCTTGTCTGTGGGTAATGACACATGCGTTTCAGTCGCTTCGTCCTTCCTGTGTGCCAAGTGGGAGGGTCTGCTTGCTATAGTCACATGACCTGTCACGGTGTTGTAAAGGAATAGTACTGGGAAAAGCATTCTGCCAATCACATGTGCAGAAAATGAGAGTGTCCCATAGGTGGTGTAACGTTTAGCCCCGGGGGTGTTATGATGAGGGGTTCAAGGAAGCAATTTTGGAATATTTTGGCAGTTTTAGAAAATCCTAGCCGGTCGGATACTGAAATAGAAAAAAATGGTTTGCGTAGCAGTATTAATATACTAATCCTTTAAGAAAGTGAAGTGTTCATCATAAGGGTCTATTTATGAACAATTTACAGGACAGGACCAGTCACCCTGTGAATCTTTCTGAGCGTTTGTTCTGTGTGAATAGGCATTGAATGTTCTTAGATATGTTTTCTTTTCAGTATTACATGTAATGTAATACTGTGTTATGGCCACTAGATGGAGCTGATGAGGAAATGAATACCAGTTTCCTGTGCTCCTCAGCTCCATCTAGTGGCCATAACACAGTATTACATTACACACATTCGACCTGAAAACTAAATATAACATTTGTTTTTGCGTCTATTCACCCAGAATAAACATTCAGAAAGATTCGCAGGGTGACTGACTCTGCGAATGGCTTATAAATAGACCCCCTAGTGTTTCAGAGACATCTAATTTTTTTCTTCCCAGCATTCTCTTGGATTTGAGGCATTCTAAATGCCGTTCTGCCTTTCTGTAGACCCTTAGGAAGGCTGTTGATAAGTGTTAGTGTTAGGTGTACAGAGGCCGGTGTGTTCCGAGGAAGGTGTATTGTCATCTCATAGCAGAGTGACTGATATCCGGTGACACCTGACTGTCACTCCTTTGCTGCTGAAGTTTTGCCCCCCGAATGGCGGCTGTTTGTTGAGGGATTTTTATGTGTTTTCTGGAGTTCTATAGCAATAGGGACCCATGCTGACATTTTCCAGGAGCATTGCCGGAAATCCGCCGACCTGAACGTTATACTGCAGTGAAGTGACCTGGACAAGCGGTGATATTTAGAAGAAGAGAACTGAAGCTTCTGATTTCCTTTTCCTTTAGATGAATTCAAATGAAAGCGCAGTGCGTGTTTTCTGGCTTTGTACAAGGACTGGTTCCTTTGAGGAGTCCGGGTGTCGTGCCCTGTGGTCTCTGCCTTTGTTGGATTGTCAGCAGGAAGCTAAAGTGGCATTTTCATCAAATAGCAAACTGCATTGTTCCAGATATATGACTGGAGGTAGCAGACCCGTTCCTGGCATCGCTGTACGGCAGTCATCTCCTCACCTAGTATTACCCAGCACTACCCAGACCCGTTCCTGGCATCGCTGTATGGCAGTCATCTCCTCACCTAGTATTACCCAGCAGTACCCAGACCCATTCATGGCATCGCTGTATGGCAGTCATCTCCTCACCTAGTATTACCCAGCACTACCCAGACCCGTTCCTGGCATCGCTGTATGGAAGTCATCTCCTCACCTAGTATTACCCAGCATTACCCAGACCCGTTCCTGGCATCGCTGTATGGCAGTCATCGCCTCACCTAGTATTACCCAGACCCATTCATGGCATCGCTGTATGGCAGTCATCTCCTCACCTAGTATTACCCAGCAGTACCCAGACCCATTCATGGCATCGCTGTACAGTCATCTCACCTAGTATTACCCAGCATTACCCAGACCCGTTCCTGGCATCGCTGTATGGTAGTCATCTCATCACCTAGTATTACCCAGCACTACCCAGACCCATTCATGGCATCACTGTATGGTAGTCATCTCCTTACCTAGTATTACCCAGCACTACCCAGACCCATTCATGGCATCGCTGTACAGTCATCTCACCTAGTATTACCCAGCATTACCCAGACCCATTCATGGCATCACTGTATGGTAGTCATCTCCTTACCTAGTATTACCCAGCACTACCCAGACCCATTCATGGCATCGCTGTACAGTCATCTCCTCACCTAGTATTACCCAGCATTACCCAGACCCGTTCCTGGCATCGCTGTACAGCAGCCATCTCCTCATTTAGTATTGCCCAGCAGTACCCAGACCCGTTCCGGGCATCGCTGTATGGCAGTCATCTCCTCACCTAGTATTACCCAGCACTACCCAGACCCATTCATGGCATCGCTGTACAGTCATCTCCTCACCTAGTATTACCCAGCATTACCCAGACCCGTTCCTGGCATCGCTGTACAGCAGTCATCTCCTCACCTAGTATTACCCAGCACTACCCAGACCCATTCATGGCATCGCTGTATGGCAGTCATCTCCTTACCTAGTATTGCCTGGCAGTACCCAGACCCGTTCCTGGCATCGCTGTACAGCAGTCATCTCCTCACCTAGTATTGCCTGGCAGTACCCAGACCCGTTCCTGGCATCGCTGTACAGCAGTCATCTCATCTATTGCCCAGCACTACCCAGACCCGTTCCTGGCATCAATGTATGGCAGTCATCTCATCTAGTATTGCCCGACCCAGACTCGTCCCTGTCATCGCTGTACAGCAGTACATGTATCATGTAATATCACATTATGGCCACTAGATGGAGCTAAATGAGCACCTCAAATACTTATTGTATGTGCTCCTCAGCGCCATCTTGTGGCCATAATGTGATATTACATGAAAAACATTAAGCAATTATTTCCCTTGTACAGAAGCAGGCCCCTAGTGAGGTGCAATATGGCCCCTGAGGACCACTACAATCCCATACAGCAGCTTTAATATGCCAGGTCATTCTTTATACTTTTTATTATAA